AATACAGCCTTTTGCAAAAATTATGAGAATTGTCGAAATATCTAAATATCATAATATCGAGTGCATGATGGGTAATCCCGCGTGATGCCCTTAGTCCCTTGTCTTTGTAGTTTAGTTTTTTTTTTGGCGACAGAGACGTATCCGTAGTTCTGAACATTTTCTCGATGTCAACAATGAATTATTCTAGCAAACCCGCGTGTCCCGGACAATATATGGATATGGATATTATGATATTTAGATATTTAGACAATTCTCATAATTTTTGCAAAAGGCTGTACATAACATTGTACACATAAAGAAACTTCAGTGTGTACATGAAAGCCCTCATGTATAATTAGTGCCCGGCCTGTATATAATGCTCATTAAACAAGCAACAAACTTACATCATCATCATGCAGTCACAGAAGAAAAGCATTGCTCTGTAACAATTAACTCTAATTGAACTACAGATGTAAATAGCCTTCGCTGTATGCTATATATTCATTGTAGTCCCTTGAATGTTAATAAATCTCCTGACGAGTGAGTTGACATAATAATAATAATAATTTATTGACTTATATAGCGCTCTTTAACATTTAAAAGATCAAAAGCGCTTTTAAGACATAGTTGACTTACGAAACAGTTCCGTAGAGAATATGGTCTGATTGTTTCATTTCTCTTCCTCTACATATCATATATATGTACATCCATTTAAGGACATCACCTGACAGATTCTACTCACTGTTAGTCTCCTTTGCAGCCTTTCCCTTTTGTCTGATTTCCTGTCCCTCCAAAAGGAAGCCTGACATAAGGGTAAACTGTGAAGGAGCCTACGATACTCTCACCGACAATTATGGTTTAAAATCTGAGTAAATGCTAAGATTAATTAATATATATAATAATAATTCATTCATAACTAAAAAAAAATGACAGCATGTGACCAGTTTTACAAAAGTGAATTTAACAAATTGCACACAGTTTTGAGTTGTAATGTCCCCTTATTGACATTTCTATTGACGTCATAAAATGTCCAAAACTCATGTGGACCCCACAAGCGAGTGGGTTCACTGCAAAGTTGTCAACATTTTTATAACATCAAGATCGTGTCAAGTCAAGGACATACAACGAAATACTGTGTTGAATTTTTGACTGACATTTTAAGTCTAAAAGTTACAAAAAATCTTTTTTTTCTTTCAATTGAGCTTTTATGTGAGACGTGATAGACAAGCACAGTGCCCATGTCCTCTTATTGACACCTGGGGGGAGGGGTGGTACTCCCCTATATTCGCTATACGGGGACGTGCCGCCAGCCAGGGTATCGTTTTCAGCGATTTTACTCTGGAACTGGGTATCGTTTTTAGTGATTTTACTCTGGAACAGGGTATAGATTTCAACGAATTTTCTCTGGAACAGGGTCAGGGTTGAATTCCGGAATTATTGATGCTGGATAAAAATTCATGGGGTAAAAATTCGGTCTACAMGCAAGCTAGTGCAGGATTTTACTCTGGAACAGAGTATTGTTTTCAGCGATTTTACTCTGGAACAGGGTATAGTTTTCAGCGATTTCACTCTGGAACAGGGTCAGGGTTTTGAGGTCCCAATGGCACACCCCCACCCAAGTTTCGGGGGAGTACCCCCCTCCGTGATTGACACACTCTAATCAGTCAATCAGCGTGCAAGACTTTACATAAGTGTGGTCAAAAAGAAAATTTTTCAAAAGTTGATAGCATAACTTACTTGCATACATCAGCTTTAACTCAAGTTCATCAATAAGTTTTGCATCTCTTTTTGTCTAAATTATGTCACAATAGAACAATAAGTATTCACTTGTTATATACTTGCATTTATGAATAAGTGAAGGTTCATATTTGTTTTAGATTATCAAATCAATTAGACCTAATAATTCATAAGGTAAAAACACTGGAAAATCATTGCTGTGAACAAAACTTCTATGCTAGCACATGTACATTCAACTCAAATTATAATTGGATGGGAATCTATTGAAACAGCAATTAGAATTTAACAGTATAACTACTCTTAATACCAATTATTTGTGAGTCAATTTTAATTGTTTAAAAATAGTTAAACAGTTCATTAGGAAATTCCGACCCTGCACATGGTTCCCTGACGACATACCTACTGCCCCTCCCCTTACCAACCCCTCAACCAAACAACATTAGCATAATGCGTCCATTTAACATCAATAATCAATAGCTATAGTAAGTTTCTATTATAAACACACGTATATAATATACAGTTGCTACTGTACAGTTCTTATTGTATGTAGCATAAATCTTTATCTTTATCCACAACGTCACAACCACAACCAAAGACCAAAATGTTTACCTGCGTGTCAACAGGATCAATAAGTAAAGCCTGTCTTGTCTTACTGCATCCAAGAAGGTATGTGAATGTATATGATTCAATATCAAGAAGCTATAAATTGAAAAGCAAAATTTAACACCAGTCTTTTTACTTATGACAGAGCCAAATCGAGTCAGTGGATCTGGACAAAGTTAATAGTGATCTCACGAGGCTCAATTTCCTCGATTATCACAAAAATACGATATTTTTACCTGTCTAAAAATCAACCTGGAAGCCATTTAGATTCAATCACCAGAAAAAGTAAACAATAAATAAAAACAGAAAAATTGGAAGAAATGCAAAYTTCCCTGATTCTGTTTTGTTGAATCAAAAGAAGAGAGGGGACTGGTAAAGAAGGCAAAGGTCTCTGGGTAGGAATGGGCTTCCTGTGGAGAGGTCAACATTYTTGTTTTCAAAATGGCGGCAAAATTGTTTTGCAAGTTTCTTTTTATTTTGTTGTTTTATGATCCAAGTGACGCCGCTGATAGTAACAGAACGGCATTCTCGCCGTCTTCTTCCCAAGGTAATTTCATTACTTGTCGAAATTTGTCATCCTTAATCCGCTTCAGTTGTCAACAATAACCTTTGATTGTCGAAAACTTTCGTTTCTTTTAGGCTGTACTTGTGACTTGACTGGCAATAGCTGTGACACAAATTGCTGTTGTGATCCTGACTGTTCTTCTACSGAGAAAGAAGCCTTTACTGAATGCAAAGACGCTGATGTCAAGTAATGACGATTATATACATTAATTTACAAACTTTTACCGAGTTTTTTTGTTGACATTTGACAATTTTTGAATTGAAGAGCCATGTTTTTGTTGTGCAAATCCTATTTGCAAAAAATTCAGTRCAGGCGGAAATAGCCTCTAATCTATGTGTAAGCTAGTGGTTTACTCTCTTGTTTTCTTTGCTATGAACGAGGCTATATTCCTGCCTGTACTTAAAGTTTAGGAATAGTCAATATACTTACCTTTTCAGTTGCTCTTAGGCCTCGACAGCGTGTTAAATATTCTTGTGAATTTGTAGGAATGTAAGCAATGCAAACATTGATGTGAATAGTCTCATTTGTCAAATTCAAAAGAATAATTAACTTGCTATCGAGGCCTAAGTGCAACTGAAAGGTGTATTGAGTGCATTTGTGATCAAAGAGCTGTGTATGGCAGGGACAATGAACTAGAGGTGTCTTATAACTTTTTTCAAGGGTTACAATTGATGTTTATTCGCTCATTGTGCTCAAGTTGTCATCTATTGTCTGTTCATTTTCTCAATTAATCATGAAGTTTGTCCCATTACATCTATTGTCTAATTAACATAGAGCGGATTTCGTATGACTGCAAAAAAACATGGTACGTTCATGCTGTGTCCATACCGTGCCGTAGCCGTGATGCATTGGAAAATCTTTACTTTCATTTTGATATCCTAGAAGGTGAGGTTCAGTGACCGTGCCGTGTCCGTGTTGTGATCCGTGGTTTTGCACAGTCATACGAAATCCGCTCTGTTACTATATTTATAGAGTACCTTCTCATAATTTTATTTTTTACACTCTACTCTATATAAGACTAGGAGGTCAAGGTATGGTTTACAATGTAGCTATGGCAATATGAGRTTACCTTATACTATCAATTTTATTTTTTTCTAGTCAGGACAACAAAGTATGTGTGTCAAATGATCTGCTGTTCATCCAAAATACTCAGTTCAAAACTCAAGCAACTGGAACAGGGTTGTTTTGTATCTTCAGAGATAACTGTAAGTACTGTAGATATTTCAGACAAATTGTTGTCCTAATGTTTCTTCTTTCTACCACTTTATATTTCTATAAATCAATTAACTTAATGATCTACTATAACTGTTTTTATTATTAGTATAGGAAATCRCACAAACTTAGTACAATTTGGAATTAATAGTCACAATTAATGTTTTAAAGTTCTTCGTAATTGCGCGAGCCTGATAGGAACTTTCGAAACATTACAAGTGACAATTAATTCCAAATGTACGATAGGTTGTTTGATTTTTTGTAAAGTACATTCAATGAAACAAAATTTTGTAAGGAAGTACAATTAACGCTGTAATTGTACTCCTCTCGACCAATGAAAAAGTATTATTTAGTTGAATGTCATTGAATTTATGATAATATGCTAATTATTGTTAGCTATTAAGAAAGTTGCCAATCAAAGATAATCCCATGTMAAATGGAAAGAATGTTGTACAGATTCTCTATCTCTATCTCAACTGTTATTGTCAAATTATTTACTAGACAGCTCCCGTAATTACTATAATGACATCACAAGTGCAAGCAGTGATACAGAGTTCAGTAATCTTAAAAGACARTCATCCAAGTCAATCTACATTAACCAGGGCCTACAACAGACTCAACCATCAGCCTCTTCTTATAAGGTGAATATGACAAGTCCTTATAGACAGCAGGGCTCAAAATATCGGTCGGTTAAAGGGCAGTGTCCTTCTAAATTCCCCAGATCACCAGCCAAATCGAGTTTTTAAAGGACAAATTGACCTCACACATTTTTAGATTAAAAAAAAAACAATCAATTCCCAATTCGCTAAATAAATCTTTTACATGCCATTAAAGTGCTTACCAATCTTTCTGAATACAAAAACCTCTAAATTAAAAGAAAATGATAGTATAATAAAGTTTTTGTCCTTTCAAAATTCGACATGAGACAGTCAGCTGTCATGGAGTATCTCGGTCCATAAATTTTTAAATCATTAAAAGGCTACTTATATTCTACTCTCGACCGAATATAAATTATTTTCAAACTAAATTACATTCATAACAACAGTATACAGGAATTGGCATCTCTTTATTGGTTATGCTRCTATGTCACGGTTTACAACAATATGCTTCTATTACCACTGACCTATATTTCCTTTAAACTTTACGTACTAGAGTTTAGAGATACCTTCGATGGTTCACACTAACTGATTTCACTTATATATACTTCACGCTACTATTCCCAAGAGTATACCCCCTTATAACAACAGCACGCTTGTATTCATTACATATCGTTAGAAAATACAT